AGTGACCCGGGTGCTGCCGCGGGCTCCACTTTCTGCCCCCCCCTTCTCTCCCCCCACCTCCCCCCCCCCTCCTACTACCGAGGCCTACTATAAAACCTCGTGCCACGGCAGATCTCTCGCCTACTTGAGCAGTTTCTTCTCGCCGTGGCTGTCCCAACCTGATGACGATTTGCTTGTGCTGCGATCGAAACGTCGTGATCTGCTATTGTTCTACCTACGCGGTGACTTTACCGAAAGAACCGCAGAAGACAAAGGTCAGTGTTTTGATGCTCAAGCGAGTTGCAATGGCGGTGGTAATTATTTCATTTTGCGGCCCTCAGCCAGTGGTGAAAATTCACTCCCGGGAGCATTGGCAGATGCGTTGATTCCTAAACCAGGATGTGAACTCGCAACCTTCCAAGCGCGTGAGTCAAGCGCTTGCAATTGGTGTCACCCAGCCAGGTAACCATTAGACCCAACTCATCACGACTCTACTATTGCGGGCGCTTAACAATGAAGTGGTGGAAAAACGCAGCCGTCGAAAATGCTTCTGAGCTTCGCTCGACAATTGCCGAACTCTCAGCATTTCGCCGTCCATGAATGACGTCACGCGATTTTGGCCGATTTTTGACCCCCCCCCCCTCCTCCCCCCCCCCCCCCCCCTTGTCACACGGCGTCACAAAAAGTCAGACTCCCCTCAAATATGACGTCACAAAGCTCTGCCCCCCCCTCCTCCCCCCAAAAACCCAAAACCATATTTCCATTTTTAAAATAAAACGTGCTTCAAATCGCTTTAAACTATTGACATTGAAGTGTGTATTTAATGTGCCACTGCACTCTGATGTTGTAGGAGAAAATACGTATTAAAAAGGCGTTGGAAAGCTGAAATTTATCATAATTCATTTGAAAATATTCAACGCCTAAATAAAACTGCAGATGTTCAGAATATTATATTGAAATTCTCTTATAATTATTAAATATTAAAAGTTAAAAATACTTGAAACTTTGTAGAAGAGCGAAGCAAAATGGAGAGTACAATTATAACAATCACATATTCATTCCACAGAATGAAAAGCTCTGATAGAATCATTAAAATCAAAATGTCTAATAACAATCATTCAAAAACGTTACAAAATGTGTGCTTCTCCATTCTCAAGTTCAAGTTTCAAATTTCATGTATTAGGTATGGCTCTGTGAGCCATGCGGCTCTTAAATCGGGTGCAAACGCAACAAACAAAATTTGAACTCAGAACATCTTAAAGCGACGACGCGCAACAGAAACATCCTGGAATGAACCAGCAAATATTCCATCTGGCTACCACGAGAGATTCGTTCATGAGGCTATCCACATATACAAACACAGAGACAATTTCAACCGAGAAGATGGATTCTGGCTTAGCAATCATTGGAAGGATTTGATCAACAATTTCGGGTCTTAATTGATTGTTCACGCTTAAGGTGGCTTTCAGACCACATCCATTATTTTCGTCTTCCCCCCTCCTCTTTTCCGAACATAGATGGACTCGTCCATCTGAACAACTGCCAAATCGCTCTCCGTGGTGCTAACGTTAAGAAACAAACACCACTTTTTTCAAATTTTTTTGCTGTGGTTTTCACACCTGATGATGATTGCTTGTGTTGTAGTCGAAACGTCGTGAGAATTTTATTGTTTTATATTTTTTATTATTTTATTGTTTCCCTTCCACGTGGTGACTTCACCGAAAGAACCAATAATATGAATCCCTGCAGTCACGAAAGCTTTAAATAAAAAGTGTATGATGTGTGAGAAAGTCAGTGTCGGCTCCCTCTGCTCACGCCGTCGCCCCCCCCCCCCGGCTCCGTCGCCCCCCCCTGGTTCCGTCGCCCCCGCCCGACTCCACAGGGCCCCCCATGGCTCGGTAGGCCATCCCCCCGGCTTCGTCGGCCCCCCCCCAGCTCTGTCGCCCCCCCCCCCCCCCAGCTCCATCGACACCCAATGGAGAAGCAAAATGCTCCTTCATGGAATAAATAAAAGGTGACCTTAGTACATTTAAATTATCAAATAGTCAATAATGAAAATTCATCAAAATTAGTGTTGTTATAACAAATCTATTCAATTAAGTAGAACGTGTTGTTTATATTTAAAGTTGCGCATTTTGCTATGACGTCACATTTCTCAAACCCTCTCCCCCCTCGTCACACATCGTCACAAATGTCTGACCGCCCCCCCACCCCCCCAGGTGCGTGACGTCATTTATGGACGGCCCCAAAAGACAAAACCCCGCAACGCTCTTCTGCTCGGCCCTCTCCAACAACTGACACAAAATGCTTCGGCCCGGATTATTTTTAACCTCCCACCTCCCACAAATCCCAACCCTTCCGCTCTACGTCCCCCCACTCCACTGGCTCCCTGTCAACTTTCCCTGCCTGTTTTCAATTCATCACTCGAGTCGATAAATCCCTCAACGGTGTTGCTCCCCTCGTTTCTCTCTACTCTGTCCCATCCCCTACCTCTACGCTCTCAGTCTTCACCGTCTCCGTCTCTGTCTCTCTCTCTCTCTCTGGGCATCCTTCTCCCTGCGTCCTGTCTCGCTCTCTCGCTCCTGCTCCTACTCGATCCCCCTTCACTTGAACCAACTCCCACTGCACATAAAGCAATCGCCACCATAGCCGGCTTCCGTTCCTCCCTTAAAACAACCCCCATCTCTTCTCCCCCAGCCCAATCCTGCTACTCCCTGTCTCAGTTCCCAAGCTATGACCAAGATTACCTCCACCCCTATCACTACCCCAGCCCCTATCACTACCCCAGCCCCTACCTCCACCCCTATCACTACCCCAGCCCCTACCTCCACCCCTATCACTACCCCAGCCCCTATCACTACCCCAGCCCCTACCTCCACCCCTATCACTACCCCAGCCCCTATCACTACCCCTACCACTATCACTACCATTAACCCTATCACTACCCCATCCTCTATCACTACCCTAACCACTATCACTACCCCTACCCCTATCACAACCCCTATCACTACCCCTATCACTACCCCAGCCCCTATCACTACTCCACCCCTATCACTACCCCTATCACTAGCCTAACCCCTATCACTACCCCAAACCCAGCACTACCCCAACCCCTATGACTACCCCAACCCCTATCACTACCCCAACCCCTATCACTAGCCCAGCCCTATCACCACCCCTACCCCTATCACTACCCCAACCCCTATCACTACCCCAACCCCTATCACTACCCCAAACCCAGCACTACCCCAACCCCTATCACCACCCCTACCCCTATCACTACCCCAACCCCTATCACTACCCCAACCCCTATCACTACCCCAAACCCAGCACTACCCCAGCCCCTATCACTACCCCAGCCCCTATCACTACCCCAGCCCTATCACTACCCCAGCCCCTATCACTACCCCAACCCCTATCACTACCCCAGCCCCTATCACTACCCCAGCCCCTATCACCACCCCTACCCATATCACTACCCCTATCACTACCCCTACCCCTATCACCACCCCTACCCCTATCACCACCCCTACCCAGTGTTCATGCTTCTGATGACGACACGCGTGGACCTGTTAAGGAGGATTTTCTTTTTTTCGCAGCAATGAAATAACTAAATTGAGAAATCATTCATTCGTATTTCAACGAAATGGAGGCAACACCAGATCTGAAACACCTCGGAGCGATTTGAGTCTCGTCCCACGGCACCATAATTGGACCTCTGATGTTCACAATGATCACGGGGCGACAACCCAAATAACAAGGAACAATTTTTTTCCCGAATTTGGTAAGAAAAAACAAAAAAGCAATTTCAAGAGCCGCGCTGCGCTGCGTGGTGAATACGATCCGGTGGGTCATTACCAAATAACGTCACGTAGCAGCTCCAGTGCGAGCTGCAGATTGCCGACCCCTGACAGTGATCATGAGCGGAATCAAATAACGGACGAGTTAGAGGCCAACAATCTGCGCGAGCGAGCTGGCGTCACAAGACCGCACACACGATGACGCAGACGAGATAACACAGCCGAATGAATAACAAATATCACTTGCCGTAGTGTTTTGTTAGAATTGCGTGACTCCAATATTCCACGTGAGCCACACAATTCGGACGCGCGCATTTGATGCCCCGCAGGGATTGTTCATTTTCACCTCAAGCAGGGCTGTAATTTACCCAAATCGGGTAACGCACCACCACGTTTGACACGACGCTTGTTTGTAACGAAATGGTGAGCGGGCTGAGACCATGAATTCTCTGCTCTCGAGAGAAGCCCCTGGCTGCGGCTGGAGCTCAGACACGAACTACCGATAGGAGTCGTGCTGGTCCAGCCCCTCTGACTCCAGACCCCACCTGCTTTGTTGCTGTTGTTTTGCTGTTGTTGTTTTTTCGCAAAGCCTCCCGATGGCTCCGTGACCTACATTGGGCTAATTCGCGATGGCGCTCACTGCTACGGCTGTGTTTGCCAAAATACCGGAATCTGGCCCGCGATGATGTCGTCTATCGGCGATGAATGAAAGATCGTGCGGTCGAGGCACCAAACATGTTCTATAACATATCGGTAACATCACTACATTTGTGCGCTCCGTTTTTTTTTTGTAATCCTCGCGGTCAAAGGTCAAATAATCACACGGTTTTAAAAACGAAATGGTCACCTCGTTTTCCAGCGTACAACCCAGCTCTGCTGCAACCGTACTTAGAAAAGCCCAGCACGGGTCGAGAGGCAACGATGTCGTTGTTTTCCACTGCAGAAGCCCAGCCGTGCTGCCGACGTCACCGGCAATGAATGAGTTGACAGGCGTGTAGATGACGCGGAGTTTGAGTCTCGTACTCGCTGTCGTCGCATGCAATAAACCCGTCGTTAAACCCGCCCCTGGCTCTGCTCGGCTGGGGGGGGGGCGGGTTGTAGGAGGGGTTCATTTCCAGTGGAAAAACCATCCCTACCGTGAGGGCCCTGGGCTGGCACGGCTCGGATGTATCCAGTGGAAAATGGGTCAAATTGACTTGCACGAGGGGGGGGGGGGGGGGCGGGGGGTGGGGGCGGGGCCACGTGTCCAGAGCCTCGCAGCTCACGGCGTGCAGCAGCCCTTCACTCTGTTCATCAACTTGGGGTTGCCCAGGCCGATGATGTACGGGCTGACGGTCGGGTACACCATCGATGCGAGCCTCACCGTGAACACGAGCGAGTCCGACACGTCGTCCAGCATGTAGATGCCGATGAGGGTGCTCACGAAGTAAACTCCCCAGCAGCTGGCGAACACGAGGCCGAGCAGGACGATGAGGTAGGCGGCGTGGATGTGCGCCGCCCGTCGGAGGGGCATCCCGACCCAGTTGTTGACGCGCAGCTGCGGTTCCGTGCGGTGCTTGTGGCGGCACAGCTTGACGATGGTGGCCACGCTCACGGCGAGCATGAGGAGGAACGGGATGATCTCGGAGAGCGAGAGCAGCGTGTACAGGTACGCCTTGTTGGTGACGTGCGAGAAGCAGCCGTAGAAGTTGCGCAGATCGCTAGAGTTGGCGCGCCGCGGGCCCGTCCGCCGGGTGAACACGGCGGTGGGCGCGAACAGGGCACCGCACGCGGACCACACGACGAGAATGCACAGCGCGGGCTTTTTCCGCGTCTCCACCTTCCGCAGGATGCGCTGGCAGCGAAGGGAGCAGCTGAGCTTGAAGAAGCGAAAGACGCTCAGCACGAGCGTGTTCCACACGGTGACCGCGGTGGTGACGAGGAAGCCGAGCATGACGACCTGACAGCCGGAGTCTCCGAGTGGGCATTGCCCCGTGCCGGTGTAGATCAACGCCGGGATGTTTCGGAAGGCGATGTTGAAGAGGTTTCCCGTGGCCAGGTTCACGTGGAGCAGGTCGGCGGTGGTGAGATGCTTGCTCTTGTACGAACCGTGCAAAGGAAAGATGAAGACGAATATATTCCCGAACGTGCCCAATACGGTCATGGAGATGTATACGGCGAAGTGATATACCTGGTGCATCGTGCTTGTTCCTTCGTAAGCTCTGCAATGCAAACAAAAAACACTCGTTAAGGATGATTGGTTTGAGGCAAAACGGTGAGTTCGATGTGCACGCGTGCAAGCGTGTGTTGTCTGTGGTTAGCGCACTGCGCTACTGGTGTTCGATTCCCGCTCGCGGCCAACACCATTGATGATTATTGGAACCGGTTCTGCGCCTCACCGAGATCGACTCGGCCTCAAATGAGTGCCTGTGTGCGGTGTGTAGTAAAGGTCGCCACTGCGGACACGAAGGCGGCAGGGCGTGGTGCTGGCCACTCAGCCCATCGGGTGCCGTGTCGGCTTTCACAGGTGCTGCTCGCTAACAACACTTGCTGCTGCAGCCTGCGAAGGCTTTGTCTTTTCGAGATGTGCTCATTATTCGGGTAAGGGCATTGCTCACGCACTTCGCGTGAGAGAACTGAAGTGAAATGCAATCGATGGGGATGTTTTTTTTGGCATCAACTCTCGTGCAAGTTCTGGAAATAATCGTCGAACCCGTGTGCTTCGAAGTGCTTTCATAAAACGTGTGGGCAAAACCAGATTGGAGGTAGGCGTTCCTTTTGACGACCCTCGATCCGCCCTTGCCCCTTGGGGTGTCCAGGATGTTGACCCGGACAACGCGTAGCAGCGAGCGGTCGTTCGAACGCTCGAGGGTGCTTCGCGCAGTTTGACCGCGTGCGAGAAAGTTCGTTTTTGTCCCGTGCGTCCCCAATTCTTCGCGAATGTTCGACCCTGCGCCCCGTTGATGGTCATCGCAAACACCGCGGGGATTGGCAAATCGGCTTCGCTGCATCGCGATCGGCATCGCGGGTGATTCGGGAGTCTCTTGAGACCCATCGAGGCTGCTATTGGCGAAGCACCGCACAGCGGGAATTTTACATCTGACCCTTTACGCGGGTATCTCTCAAACGGAAGGTGGCGATCGTTCTCCCCGAGTGGCACTCGCCGGCCACATTCAGGCGCCCATTAGACATTTGCGTCCGGTTTGAGTTCATGGAGTGTAAGGCGGTGGTCCAGTAACACAATTAACAAAAGGGTGCCACGGTAGGGAGATGTTAATTACCTCGCCTAGTGTGCAGGAGGTCGTGGGTTCGATCACGACCCTGGCGCCTGTATAATTGGTCGGGTGGATTTTCCTCCGGGACCTCCGGTTTTTCCCTCCATATTTAGGAACACGCGTATTAAGTATATTTGGCTGCTCTAAATTCCCACGCGATAAGCCACTTCGTTGAGCTGTAGTTTTGTGGTCAGGTCGCATCTTAAAAAGAGCTCTATAGTTCAGTGGGCCTTACCTGGTAAAAAAATAAAATAAAAAAAATTGCTTAGTTTTTTGGTTTACAAATGGCTAGATGTTCCGAGGCAGGTTTGTGAACTTTTCTGGGTCAAAAGGTTTTAAACACAAAGGCAACAATTTTCCACAAAAGGTTCTCAGAAAACGAACGCTTTTTGGTTCCATTCATTTTGAACCCAACGTGCCGATGGAACAGACGGAGGCACGATTGGACACACGTGAATGATAGAGACTGAATATTGATTGTTGGGAGCGGTAGCGTGGGTCAGCGCGCTGCACTGAGAACCGGCGACCTGAGTTCCATTCGTGCTCGCGGCCAACATCAATTTACGAAGCCCTGAAACCAACAACACGCAGTTGCTCGGATGTGCACGGCTGAACTTCATCATCTCGCGTGCAGCAGAGCCACGTTGGGAGTGCATCCTCTTACCTGCTCATCCAAACCACAACCTCTCACCATTGCCTGAGCACTCGCTTCAATCAACAGGCATCCGCCTGCTCTCATAATCCCCTACAGCTGGTGCCTGGTGTCCTCCACGCTGTCCCCTGCCCAAACGTGGCATACGCCTCACCACAACCTGATCTACGTCGAACTTATCTCGCACCGTACGTAGCCAGCCGTGCTACCTATCCATGGTGATATCCTCCTTGAATAGTTGACATCCAGAAGCCCTTTGCTGCATTGGCATTGCTGCTGCATTGGCATTGCTGCTGCATTGGCATTGCTACTACATTGGCATTGCTGCTACATTGGCATTGCTGCTGCATTGGCATTGCTGCTGCATTGGCATTGCTGCTGCATTGGCATTGCTGCTGCATTGGCATTGCTGCTGCATTGGCATTGCTGCTGCATTGGCATTGCTACTACATTGGCATTGCTGCTAAATTGGCATTGCTGCTGCATTGGCATTGTTGCTACATTGGCATTGTTTGCTGCATTGGCATTGCTATCGCATTGGCATTGCTACCGCATTGGCATTGCTGCTACATTGGCATTGCTGCTACATTGGCATTGCTGCTACATTGGCATTGCTGCTGCATTGGCATTGCTGCTACATTGGCATTGCTGCTACATTGGCATTGCTGCTGCATTGGCATTGCTGCTACATTGGCATTGCTGCTGCATTGGCATTGCTACTGCATTGACATTGCTGCTACATTGACATTGTTGCTGCATTGGCATTGTTGCTGCATTGGCATTGCTGCTGCATTGGCATTGCTGCTGCATTGGCATTGCTGCTGCATTGGCATTGCTGCTACATTGACATTGCTGCTACATTGGCATTGCTGCTGCATTGGCATTGCTGCTGCATTGGCATTGCTGCTGCATTGGCATTGCTGCTGCATTGGCATTGCTACTACATTGACATTGCTGCTACATTGGCATTGCTGCTGCATTGGCATTGCTGCTGCATTGGCATTGCTACTGCATTGACATTGCTGCTACATTGACATTGCTGCTGCATTGGCATTGTTGCTGCATTGGCATTGCTGCTGCATTGGCATTGCTGCTGCATTGGCATTGCTGCTGCATTGGCATTGCTGCTACATTGGCATTGCTGCTACATTGGCATTGCTGCTGCATTGGCATTGCTGCTGCATTGGCATTGCTGCTGCATTGGCATTGCTGCTGCATTGGCATTGCTGCTGCATTGGCATTGCTGCTGCATTGGCATTGCTGCACTGCTCATGCTCCTGGTGCTGCTGACCCACTTGGGCTAAGCCCATCACCCAAACCTTTATAAACAGTTTTCCTTTAGAGGCTAACTCCTTTGCCTGATGACGACCGCTTGTGTTGCGATCGAAACGTCGTGATATTTTGATTAACTTTATTTTCACTGTTATTTTTTTCTATCTACGTGACTTTACCGAAAGAACCAACAGATCCACCCTTACTAACCGTAACACTCGGATGGCGCTCGTTAACTTCGCATTTCGCCTTGAATGGTTCAAAAACACGGCATGCCGCTTAAAAAAAAAATCTGAACTGAAAGTGAAAATGTGTCCAAGAGAAGGGTGGAGAGGTCCACGCGTGGGATTGGTGCACTCAGACACAGCAAGGGGAACGAGTGACAGCTTCTGACGACACAGTCGAGACTGTTAATAAGAGTGGGGCTGATTAGCGGTAGGACACCTCGCTAGGTGATGGCCAATCATCTCGACCAGGAGGGCGGCGACGTGCGCTTTCGGAGCCGCGTGCGGTGGCTGTCTAAGGATTGCCTTCGCGTGGCATTGAGGATCTCGAAATATTTTTTTTTACCAAATATATATATAAAAAAATGTTTCTCTTCTTATTCATATTCTTGGTTCTTTGGGTAAAGTCACGTAGAAGGGAAACGATGAAATAATAAAAAAATATAAAGCAATTAAAGTCTCACGACGTTTCGACTGCAACACAGATGCAATTTCAACCGAGAAGATGGATTCTGGCTTAGCAATCATTGGAAGGATTTGATCAACAATTTCGGGTCTTAATTGATTGTGCACGCTTATGGTGGCATTCAGACCGCATCCATTATTTTCGTCTCCCCCCTCCTCTTTTCTGAACATAGATGGACTCGTCCATCTGAATAACTGCCAAATCGCTCTCCGTGGTGCTAACATTAAAAAATAACCGCCACTTTTTTCAAATTTTCTTGCGGTGGTTTTCACACCTGATGATGATTACTTGCGTTGCAGTCGAAACGTCGTGATCATTTTATTGTTTTATATTTTTATTATTTTATTGTTTCCCTTCTACGTGACTTTACCGAAAGAACCAAGAATATGAATCCCTGCAGTCACGAAAGCTTTAAATCAAAAGTGTCTCTTCTTGTTAGTTTGGACGCCAAAGCCCTGGTTTGGAGGAGGAAGTAGAGTGGAGTGGTGGCCACGTGATGGAGCGCGTCCCAGGAGCTCACGCGCTGAGGACTTGGAGTGGTGCAATCCACTAGTGTGCAGAATGTGGACGGCGACATCGCAGGGACGATGTAGTCATCCACCCTTAAACCCAGTAAGATTGCTGTATAACAGTAGGTTTTACCCTGTCTGGCAATAAAACAGTTGTGTTAAGATGTCAAAACTCCAAAAAGAATCCCTTTTTTTCAAGGAATCTTGTTTGCATTAACCACATAACGGTACTTGTTGTGATCATGCAAACAAAACACATACTCGGGTAGTAAGTGATGATGATGCAGTGTCTTTGAAACTGATTGGTCCACACCAGAGACAGCTTTCTTTAAGAGCCTCGTCTCAAACCGATGTTAGGCCAGAGGACTCCAAAAGGCGAACAGCGCAAAGACAACGCCACTATCAGGGCATTGTTATCTCGCGGTGAGCAGCTACACCATGGGACCCTAGCAATTGTTTTATTGCCAGAGAGGGTAAAATCTGTTATATTTTGATACTGGAAAGAAGGTTCCCATGTTCTAGTAGGTTGACTATCGCTGCTGCTGCTGATGATGACGACGGTGGTAATGTTGCCGGTTTTGTTTTGTTACAGCTCAGTTTCCGAGCGTGGCCAAGTATGTGTGCATGTTGAACTTCTTTCCCACCGTACACAGCCAACCGTGCTAATCGGAGGTTGCAGGCGACCGCACGTTGAGTCCAAATCGTTGCATGCAAATTGTCCCAGCGGTCACTACACGTATGGTATCGCAAATTAAATAATACGGATCACTGAAATTAGAAAACGTGACCGGGCTGTATTGTGTAACGTGGCTAACCAAAGCGATCTGAACTAACAAGCATTGGCGTAAACGCATTCCAGTAAAATAACATCGCAATAAAGTAACATTTCACGCCGAGCCAAGATGCGAGACCCACACAACACAGCATTGCTAATTAACCACTGTCCTTCAAATGCAATCGCTGCAACTTTCCACTGGTCAATAAATGCCGTCTCCAATTGAGACCCACGCATAATTGTCAATCAAACCTTCCCTATAATGGCGTCCATGGACAAACCGCGATGTAAAAACAAAAAAATCAAACCGCGCGCCACTTTTGAATATTCACTAAAGACTCGCAGATGTTAATTGCCCGACGCTGGCAGCCTTGGGAGCCGCGTGCCGTGATGTGCCCGTGTATGGCAGGGGCAGTCGTGTGTACACGACTACTGTCAAGCCACACATGTGCTCGTGGCTGTGTGTATATATACTGCAGTGAATGGTAGTGCACCCGTGTGTGTGTAGTGTGTGTGTAGTGTGTGTGTGTGGCACGCGGTACCTCTGGAGTGTATAACACAATGCAGTGCGTGTGTTTAGCAGCAGCAGCAGTGCGCGTGTGAGAGAGAGAGAGAGCGAGTGTCTTACCAGCCCGAGGTGAG